GTGAGAAAATAAGAGATTTGTATCATTCATTAGTAACAATATTGGGATATATGAAATTTGAAGAGAATCGGAAGCTTATTTCTCATTTCATGAGCATTCTGTTATTAAAAATGCTTTGTGGGGTGATTAGAAGGAGTGGTCCAAAATCTAGCTTCTTCACAACAGATCATGTCTTGGTAGATATATTGAGATATCTGAAATGAAATGAAGAGAATGAAAAGAATGAATCGGATCCTTATTTCACATTTTATGGGAGTTTCGGTTATTCAAAAGGTTAACCCTTTGTGGGGGAAGGAGTGGACCGATATATCTCATATTCACAACAGATATTGTGTTAATAGAAATATTGAGATGTGTGAGATTTTATGAGAACCGGTTGCTTATTTCACTTTATTCAAAAATTTGATCCGTTGTGTGGAGGTGCCAGAAGGATTGAAGGATTGATATATCACCTCTTTAGAGGTTGTTGATAGAAATATTGATATGTACCGAGTTTAAAATTTATCGGATGCTAATTCCGTGTTTTACCAGGTCTTGTGTTAATAAGAATATTGAGATGTGCGAAATTTGAAGACAATCGGAATCAAAATTCAAAATTTTGATATATTGTGGGGAAGGTACCAAAGGGAATGGTCCGATGTTGCCCATCTCCGAACTTTATCTAAGTTTGACTATAATATTACGATGTACCAAATTTGGACCAAATCGGATACTCCCTTCGAGAGTTATCGTGCACACCTGCCAGCCAGACAGACGGACGGACATCATAGGTCGACTTCAAATGTCCTGAAACGGATTTGGTCAAAAACCGTTATTTCGATCACGTTTTGGCCGTACCAAATGATGTATACACTTTGTATCCATATGGCTGAGGGTATAAAACGTGATATATGTACTTCCAGATATTTGTTATTTTGACAATTCATGACACTTTTTATAACAGATTTTATTAAAATTTTGAAGTTATAGTTCGTAATGTGTATATCAGAAAACCTTTTCTGTTTAAGTCCACGTTTCTACTATATCAGACAATTGTCTATGTATCTCCAAATTTTCCTAACGTTACCTCCCGATATTCGGTAAACTTGACATTTGGTATGAGAATCAAAGTTGGAAAGTAAGTTTGATATATATAAGTGTGCTAACTGTACTACATGGTACTAAATTTAGAACCGTTTGGTTTAGAGTGAATGGATCAAGCTGGAATTTTGAAGTTTTGTATTGAGGCTGGTGGTAGAAAAGAAAAGTATTAGTTCAAATAAAACCACACTTGCTAGATATTCGATATTCGATAGATGAATAAGGTTTAGGTTATATTTGGCTAATTTAACTGTGCTATCCCAGTGCTAAAATCCAAATATTTAAATGGGTAATAACGTTTGTGTCTCTATAGTACAAATTATTTCTTTTTACACCCTTTTATGGATGTTGTAAAATTTCAATAATCGTGCTTCAGTTGCTTAGATTAGATTTTTCATCAAACATTTTCTAACAGAAATCTACTTTTTTGTTGAAAATCTACACGTTTATTCTCACTTTCTGCCAGTCACTGTTTTACAACGAATTTATGAGATTTCATACACTTCCTTTGTGTGCTTTATATTATTCTACCTCTTTGATTTATACTGAATACAAAATAAATCTGACAATATCTGTTGATTGTTAAATTTTACTGTTTCTAACTTTCGTAATATTTTATTTCCGCTTTCGAAGGGAGGTAAAAAGTCTACAGTTAAGACAAATCGTTCCGTCATTGCTCTGCTTAAGAGTGTTAACTATTGTCGAAATTCAAAGCAATTTTTTATTTAGAAGAATCATTTTTTCAAGTGCCTGCAGCTATTGCTGAGGTTTTTTTTCTTTTATGTTTGTCTGCAACATTGGCTTGAGTTGATTTAAAGTGTCCTCCCCTCACTTTGTCTCTATCTCTCTTTAAATGATGAATAATTGGTGGTATTTTATAAAGTTTTTATTGTGGACCGTCAAAAATTTTTCACAAAGATTTCCATTGAAATGTTTTTAATGCTCGCCAAGAGAAATATTTTTTTTCTTGGAAGTGGAAATTGAAAGGAATTAGACTTCTTGCAATAACTTTGTGAAGCGGCAAGTATCGAACTAAATGTCTTTGCACATACTTCAGTTTAGTTTGAAAGAAAATACATATATTTTTTACTAAAATTTTAAATGTCTTGTGGCTTCTTTTTAGGAATACAAATGAATCTCACAAATCAAATATGAATTAATTTGCATAATGACGAAATGGATATAAAATAGAAATAGAGTATATGTAAAAATGTGCAGACACTGAAAACACTAATTATGCAGAAGTATTCTTGGAAGTAGTACTGTGCCATCGGGAGGGTGGGAAATTTAGATGATGCTTATTACTTTAATCGTGGTTTAGGTTCTTATAATCTATGAGTAGAGTATAAGAGTATAGAGTATGGTTTTTAGTAACTATGTAATGTTAAGAATAATTTGAAAATGATTGGATTATACCGAAGGTTTTCAAAGTTTTGTATTTTTATGAAACCTGCATCAAATTTCAAAACAGGCTATATACCAGTACTACCTATACTTTTACTTTGCTATGAAAGACACATATCCCCCATCATTATTAGTATTCCAAAAATAATGACAGCATTACTAGTAAGCTAAAAAACAATGAATTATTCCTATTTAGTTTACAATGCAAAAAATTGTTATCATAACACTTCAACTCCTCCATCAGGCCAACTATGTTAGAAAACAAGTTAGACAGTTTCAGTCGGTGCTTCAAAGTACATAGCCTTAAATGTGGCCACTTTTTTCGGGGACGTACTAAAAGATTGGACACATTTATCCCAAATTTATCTTAGATCTAATGTTAGTACATATAAGGCAATGTGCGAAAGGTAGCGGAAAGAGAAGACCGATATATTTTCAGATCCAATCACCGGATCCAATATAGAAAATAGTATTGGGATATGTAATTGAATTGGGATATATGTGATTGAAGAAAAACAGATATTGATTTCTAACTTCAAGGGGGTTATTGGTTATCAAAATTTTTACCTTTTGGGGAAGGTACCAAAAATGTCTATTGTCGACCTATGCCTTATCTAAATACTACACTGAGACAAGTTCAAACTATGTGAGGTACTCCCATTTACAAATTTGTATACATTTCTTGTAATTTTTTAAACTTTTGTGGAAGTGGTACCAATAGAGGTAGATGGATATTGTCCGCCTCCGCAATCGGTCTAAATTTGCTAAAATAGTACGACCAGATCTGATGCTTCCATTGAGAGTTATCGTGCGCACAGACAGACAAATATTTTAAATATTCCATTCAATGATTAGTACTATGGTCGACTTTTAACTTTACGTTTTCCTCGTGACTGAAAATAAGTCGTTGGATTGAAATTGGAACACGAAATAAGCAGAACAAGAAAAAAGCGAATACATATCACGCTTTTAAAGGACCTTGAATTTTTTTCCAAAAATTCCGTCGAAAAATATCGTTTTAAGTAAAACAGTTATATAGGGGCCATACGAAGACGTGTATCTACATAGATAATTTGCCGTCATAGGTTGTAGTACACATTACCAGCTTAAAAAACGAAATGTGAAACAATTCCGGTAAAAATTTCGCAAATATAAGCAAAATACCGAATATCGGGAGGTGTCGTTATATGTGGGCTATACGAAGACTTTGACCTACACAGACAATTTTCAGTCGTAGATTGTAGTGCCCACAAGAAGCTTCAAATACGACATTCGAATCAATTTCGGTGAATAATGTAGCTAAAATAATCAAAACACTGAATGTATGGAGGTACCTTTATTACGGATCTTTACAAAGGCGTGGACCTGCATTGACTACTTTATTTCATAGACTGCAGTACCCATTAAGAACTTTAAATACGAAATTTGGAAAAATTCCAGTGAATAATAAAACTGTCGCTGAAATAATCAAAATACCGAATATTGGGAGGTACTGTTACATGGGGGCTATACGAAGACATTGACCTATATAGACAATTATCCGTTGTAGATTACAGTACCCATAAGGAGCTTCAAATACGAAATTTGAAACAATTTCGGTGCATAATGTGGCTAAAATAATGAAAATACTGATTATATGCAGGTACCTTTATAACGAACCTATACAAAGACGTGGACCTACATTGGCAATTTTTTTTTTTTCATAGACTGTAGTACCCGTTAAGAACTTTAAATACGAAATTTGGAACAATTCCAGTGAATAATAATACGGTCGCTAAAATCATCAAAATACCGAATATTGGGAGGCATGAGGGTTATACAATCTCGTGAACCTATATAGACAATTCTCTTCCAGGGGATAAGATACACATAACGAACTCCTTGTATAGGATTTCAGACAATGCTATTAAAAATGAGGCTAAAATCATCCAAATACCCAATATCGGGATATACCGTAATATGAGGGATATACGATATCGTGTACCTATTCTCTTCCAGGGGTAAAATACTCAGAAGGAACTCCTTGTGAAGAATTTCAGACAATTACATTGAAAAATGTGGCTAAAATCATAAAAATACCGATTATGGGGGTACCGTTAGATGGGGGCCATACGATATCGTGGACCGATATAACCCATCTTCGAAATTGACCTGTCTGCAGAAATAACTGACCTATGCAAAATTTTAGCTTTCTACTATTATTCGTGTCTCAGAATTGTACGCAGGTCAATATAAATATAATATTTTTATTTCTATTAAATATAAAATTATTGTTTCGATGATACTAGGTGGAGGGAATAATAAAAATATATATTGTGAGAGTGGAAAAAGAAATTTACAGGAAATTATGAGTCTGTAGTTAGCATCTTCGTAAATGTAGCATTCGAACAAATGCTTATTTCATTTCTTTATAAAAATTTCAAACGATTTTTTCCAAATTATATTAAGAAATTTGTCACACCAATAAAATATTTTTAAAATTCTATTCATATTTAAAAATTTTCTTTTCTTTCTAGATTATTTGTATCCTGCTAGAACCCCTTAACAATTAAAACGTACTTGCATACCAGTACCGAACTATTACTTGACCGGACGCAATTTCCTGAGTAGCAAAATGTTAAAGCCGGATTTCCAGTACAAAATGACTCTGCCATTTGTCCTAATATGTATTCTGCTGTCATGTAATGCAGTTGAGGCTCGTTCGCGTGACAAGGAGAGTAGAAGACGGGCTGATCGTCTTGCTGACTCAACTATAACCAACTATGCGCCGTCCTCCTCCTCCTCCGTCGTAAGTCAGTACAACGCATACGGCTCAAGTTCTTTGTCCGGAGGTTCAGTTCCCTATGCAGTGTCTTCGGTCACATCTGCATCATCTAACTATTACAACGGTCCCATAGATGATACTGGTTTCTGTGTTCGACGACGAGACATGAAGCTAATGTGTTACTGTACACCCGATGAGAATCATGTACCCGTTCAAAAAGCAGAATGTTGGGTATTCTCGGAAGGTCTAATGCAAAACGATACTACCTGGACACGTTTCTATCAACAGACCCGACTGCGTGAACTTAAATTTGTCATACAAAATCATGGACGTTTGGACTATATTCCAACACACATCTTGAAACCATTGGAAAATTTGACCAGTATTACAATTGAATATTCCCAGGTTGAGATTGTAAGAAGTTATGCATTTGCCAATTTGCATCAATTGGAACGTATTGTTCTCACAAACAATATGATTATAGCCCTGGATCAGGAAGCTTTTGCCAATCACATACGTTTGCGTGATTTAAATTTGGAACATAATCAAATTTTCGAAATCGATCGCAATGCCTTCCGTAATTTGCCCCTGTGTGAACGCATCAGTTTGAATAACAATAATATAACGAATTTACATGATGGTCTCTTTTCGGATTTGGTTCGCTTGATACATTTGAACTTGGCCTACAATCAAATCAGCACCCTAACTAGTAACATATTCAAGGGACTGGGTAATTTGAATGTTTTGAAGTTGACTCACAATAATATTAACTTTATCGGTGACACTGTATTTGCCGAATTATGGAGCTTAACGGAACTGGAACTGGATGACAATAAAATAGAGGTAAGTAAATATTTGAGATTTTGTTTTTTGTTTTTAACGATGGAAATTTACATGACAATAGAACAACAACTTTAATTTTTCTACGATGTATTATTGGAAAATGAAATTCTATTATAACAGATATTAACGTGAAAATATGACGGAGAGATAACGTAAGACCCGTAGAAAAACATAAATTTTGGGTAAATGAGCCATAAATGCTGAGTCTTTGAGTAAAAAAGTTATATTTTTCCTGCTTTATATTTGTGTAAAATTATCAAATTGATATCTGTATAACTAAAGGAGTTACATTTTTATACCCCACGAAACACTGTGGTCAGGGTATTATGTCTTTGAGAATTTGCCTGTAAAATGGAGAAGGAATCGAGATAGACCCATATTTACTGTTGAGGATCCTCATAGAATCACTTAGTGAGTCGATTTATGGGGACTGTCCGTGTGTCCTAGTATTTCTTATGAAGTTTTATCCGTTTGAGAAGAAATTTTTCATACATTATTTGTTTGGTCCAAGGACAAACCCCATTGAAATTGATGATAATCGGTTCAAATTTAGATATAGCTCCTGTATATATCTTCTTTGGATTTCAATTTTATTGTGCGCCAAAATGTTTAATATTCGTTCAACTAGGATGTGTTTCATTAAATCCGATGGAATTCAGCCTAAAAACAAATTCTTCAATTTTCGTGAAAATCTGCTCTTATGGTGTTTAGGTCCCTTATATTCGTAATATACGCTCCACGAAAATGATATTTAGTACCAAATATCAGATACATCTCAAAAATGCATTTTTCAAATTTTATCGAGATCGGTTCAGATAGCTTCCATATATCTTTAGACGATTTCAGGTTTATTGTGCGCAAAATGGCTAATATTAGACCAAGGAGTGAATTCTGGCACTTCAGACCAAATTCAGCATAAAAGCAAGCTTTTCAAATTTTGTGCAAATCGGACTAAGTACCTCACATTAGTAATATGCACTCCACAACAGTGATATTTAGTACCAAATAGCAGGTACAGCTCAGAAACCTGAATACATGTTTCAAATTTTATCTGGATCAGTTCAGATTTGGATATAGCTTCAATATATATCTTTATTTGATTTCAGGTTTGTTGTGCACCAAATATGTTATACCAGGTCAAATTGGATAGATTTTTTCACATTTAACCGAATTTTTCCATGTGGTGGAACTTAGCTTCGATGTATATTTTTATACCTTCCACCTTGGAAAGAAAAGGTATATTAAATTTGTCATTCTTTTTGTTACACCTCTAACTTTTCGTCATAGACCATTTATGCTCATCATCAGTTAAAAATTCTAGGTCGTTTTATCGATGTCCGTTGTCTGTCTGTTGAAATCACGATACCGCCCACACTATTTGACGTAGAGGATGGTTGGAATTAAAAATGAGATGTATCGGTCCAAGGGTACCTTGGTACCTTTGATGGTACCAACCAAATTTTTCTAGCTACGGTGGCGGGACATTGTTAACGTTCTCGTATAGCCTCCATAGGTGATGGGTTTAACCCCGATTTTCCACGGAATTCTTCCAAATTTGATATCAAGAGTAAGTAATGGGTTCTAATTTTGGTGGCAGAACATTGACTGTATAGGTCCACGTTTTTGTAGATTCTTCAAAATTCTGTTCAAGAATATGGGTAGAATATTTGGTATTGAACATGAGATATATCGGTTCACGTTTTGTTATAGCCTCCATATAACGGTACTTCGGTATTTTGACCGTTTTAGTAATATTTTGTACAGATTTGTCCAAGGAAATCGATTTAGAATTGGGTATACCTCCAATATACTTGCTCCCTCTGAAACAAAGTTATTACTGTTCTAAAGCAATAATACGCTTTCTAATATGGTACTTAATTTTTTAAATTCCCAACATACTATTTTTTTGTTGTTTTTAGCGATGTCCATCTGTCTGTCGGACTGTGTGTTTGTATCTCCGTCTGTCTTTCTGTCTGCTGTAATTACGCTACCTTTCGAACGAATTGAGATAGAAGTTTAAAATTTCGCACACATGTGTATTTTGCCAGTAGGTTAAGTTCCTAAATGGGTCATATCGGTTCACGTTTTCGTATAGCCGCCATATAACGGTACCTCCCAATATTCGGTATTTTCATGATTTTTGAGGCATTATACACCGGAATTTTGTATTGGGAGATCTTAATGGTTACTACAACCAATGGAAATTTCTTATGGAGGTCCCCTTTTTTGTATAGCTCCCATATAACGGTACCTCCCGATATTCGGTATTTTCATGATTTGAAGTTCGTAATGCGTGCTAAAGCCTATGACAGCAATTTTTGCATGCAGGTCCACGTCTTCGTGTAGTACCTCCCAATACTCGGTATTTTTATGATTTGTGCTATATTATTCACCGGAATTGTAACAAATTTCGTATTTAAAGTTCGTAATGGGTACTACAGCCTATGACAAAAAAAATTCGTATGTAGGTCCACGTTTTCGTAAATCCCCCATATCCCGATATTCGGTATTTTGATGATGATTTTAGCGACATTATTCACCGTAATTGTTTCAAATTTGATATTTGAATGTCATAATGAGTACTACAGCCTATGACAACAAATTTCGTAAGCAGGCCCACGTCTTCGTATAGTCTCCATATATCTGTTTTTATTTAAGTTGTATCTTCCGGAAGTTTTTTGAAATTTTTTCAAGTTCCTTCCAAATGGTAGATGGTGTTAAAAGTTCGGGCCGGCCGAACTCAGCTGCTTTTATACTTGTTCTTTGTTGTTTTTAGTGATGGCCCTCCGTCTATCTGTCTGTTTGTATTTCTGTCTATTTAAATCACCCTATTTTTCGAACGAATTGAGATAGGAGGCTAAAATTTTGCACATATGTGTATTTTGCGAGTAGGCAAGTTACACGTCTTCGTATATCGATACTTCCCGATATTCGGTATTTTGATGATTTTAGCGACGTTTTTCGCCAGAATTCTTTCAAATTGTGTATTTGAATTTCGAAATGCATAGTTTAACCCATGACAGAAAATTGTTGTGTAATAATCTGTTTAATCTCGGCGTATCGAAATTGAATTTTTGAGATGTGACTCTCTTTAAGTAAATGAGTGATGTGTGTATGCAGATGATTATGCTCCTCGGTGGGACTTAACTTAAACTCAATGGAGGATATTATGAATGGAATAGCACACATTTCTTTTTCCTTGCATGTTTTACTACAAATAAATGTATATCTATGAAAAAGCGTTTAAAACCATGCCCCACATTGTGGTCTGTTTCAATTATATATAGCGAGTATGCATTTTCATATTGCCGCCAGTTGTACTTGTTGCTTTTTTGTAACTGTAACAACCATTGTACTAGCCCGCAGCTATTTATTCGCACTTGCCAGTAATTGTTGAGGTTACGCATACAGCTTAATATTAAGTTTATGTGGGTAGAGCATGATTTTTGTAATACGCTTGGAAATCATGATCCTTAAGCTAAAGTGATGCGCGGCGCCAGTATACTGCAAACCATGGCATTTCAGAATGAAAATACGCTGGCACATACAAAATGAAGAGAATGAACGTTCTGATATGCCTGTAGAAAAGTCACAGCATATTAAAGCCAACTAGACAGATATATGGGCCTTTTTTGAGTCAGTGACATTCTCTGAGATAAGAGAACAACAACATCAACAAAAAATAAATAAGTGAAAAGCTGGTCGCAATACTGTCATAAACATTCATGGTGGTGGTGGCTGGAAAAAAAAAACTTACATAACAGCTTAGGAGTTTTTCCAGCACATCCTCGTCTTCTTCTTCGCGGATATGTGGGAGTAAATGTATGTCAGTGCAACTTATGTTGAGAATTCTTGGATATGTGACTTACACATCTTACATATCTGGTGTGCCTGACACTATCAGCTTGCTCAAAATTGTGTGTCCATTCGCACACCCACATACATTCATGCGCTGCTGCGAGAAGCTTGCCTGGGATAAGGATTTCTAAGTAATTTTTTCACTGTTCGGGTTTGCTTGTCAGTTTATGGTGCTGTTGTCGTCTTAGTTCTTTGTACTTTTTGTGTTTTTTTTTTTTCTGCAAAAATTGTCATCATTCTTCGCGTTTTTGCTTGGTTGACGCTAGAACACTTTTTTCTTCTTCTTCTCCATTAAGGGAAAAAGGATGGTAAATTTAAACGTACGTAAATATGTACGGGCTATAGCAGCAAGATTGCGTGTCGAGATTGCTCAAGTATTTGAGTGTTGATGATAGGCGTTTGTTGTTCAGTTCAAGTGTTGAAATGGGGTGTGCAGAACTTTTCAATGTATGTGCTTTGTATGGGCTTCATTAAAAGCTTAAATTTAAACGGGATGTCTTTAATTTATACGATATTTGCAAGAAACGCACTGTACAATATGACAAACTTTTCAAACAAGTAAATAACCTTTAGCAAATACACACACGGATTAAGTGTTTTGAATGTATATGCAACTTACTGGTGATAGACACTACGCTATTAGTAATGGTCTTCATAAAATCATCCCACTAGTCGTCTCTAAGTCTGGTCATGCTTTCTTGTATTCAAAGTAGTTTTAACCGCACCCCGCTATGGAGAATGTTATTCTATTATAATTCAAAAGTGTAGAACATGCCGAAATAATGATCGGAAAACCAAAGTGCAAAATTCATCTCTGTCTGGCTATGTATGTCAGTCACATACTTTGGTACCAGGTTGGTTGTATGATCAATCAGACATTATTAAGTGGGAAAAAATTGTGAGCTAAGTGGACAAATCTCTTTTTTTATTAAGGAGCCTTTCAATATCTCAATTTTGCTCCGATGCGAAGGTTAGATCAAAATATCTCGAAGAAATATTTAAATTAAACAAGTAAGGCCAACCATATGATATCCTGCAACACTATAATATATTGGAAAACCCCCTAGGTCAAAAGATGTTTTTATTAAATGTTCATCGAAAATTGTGACTTGTAAAGCAAGTGCAAAATCAGGAAAATTTTC